AAGCACAATAGGTTTCGTTGTTACTCAGGTTTATATAACAGACACATACCTTCTGAAGTTTTGAAAAATCTCTTTTTGTTAACATGGTCAATGGTTATATAATTCTAAGCTGTGTGTTTTACATGTACAGATACAAGCGCCAATAAAAGTTGAATCTTCACTGCAACACTATCTTCCCTGTTTCAGGTTTTGTTACCTAATTTGTTACTCATTTCTGGCTCTTCATCTAAGTTTCTGAACCTTTCACTTCACCTGGTGAACACTGACTTCTCTAAGTTTCAGTTTCTCCATCTGGGAAATGGGGATAATAGTAATAATACTGACTTCACAGGGCCCATGGTGGTTAAGTATTTCAGGATTAAACATGGAGTGTATATAAAACCTTTGGCAGAATGCCTGATGACAGATGTTTGCTGTTTTAATGATCAGTTCTGCCAACTTTACTCCGGTAGAGGTTGGGAGATGGGAATTGAGGGCAATAGTTTTCAACAGTAAAATCCCAGTAAAAGGACAGGCTGAGAACCTTAGTCCCATGCTTCCTCCAGCAGGGAGGGGTTGTTGCAATTCCTAAGAATTCCTAAGAATTAGGGGGATGTAGCTGTTGTTTCTTCAAAGATGGATTAAAAGGATCCCCACCTCAACCATCTCGCTCTCCAGATCTCTGTTCTCTGCTGGGATTAAAACCGGGACTTTCATTTTTCCTATGAAAACTTTGAGGTTGTCAGGTCAAATTATCTCTCTTATTTTTCTGATTTCTCCCCTTTTACCTGGAGAGGACACAATATTCTCCTCCTCTGGGCATGACACAGCATGTTGTGAGAGCCCAACAGGTTTAAGCTTCCTGCTAGTTCAAATACCATATTTTCAAATACTGCCCAGCTCAGCAGCCTCAGCTCAGTGGAGCCCAAGTGTCCCTTTCATTTTGCTTTTAGCCATCCTGAAAACAAACAAAATCAAACCCATAAATGCATCACATCAAAAGTTTATCCATCCCCCTCTGGCCCAGTCCTCTTCCCCCACCCTTTTTACAGAGTTCTCACTAAAACAACATGCTCTAGGCTCTTTCCATCCTGTGTGCCACCAACTCCACCATCTGGTGCTTCTCGGGAAGTTAAACAACTTTCTTTCCCTTCCAGTTTACTCTTTAACTTACATTACTCAAAGAAGTAGCTATTTTCCCCTCCATGTCCCAATTAAGCCTCAGTTTACCTTCTTGTTTAATGCCCTCTTCCACATTTGTAGTTTATAGGGATGGTTCAGGCTGAAATCTCATAGTTCTCTTCCCCCAAGGCTTTCATACAACCCTTCCGCTTGAACCTGACCTTCAACTGAATCTCAATTCGGTCTTTCAGATTTAGATTTCTTATTCTTGCCTCATCTCAGTTTTCCTTCTTCTGAATGCTCCAGCCACTTAGTTATTACATTGTTCTAGCACTTGAAAGTCAATTTGAAATCCTCTGACGTGGTTGGAGCAATCTTAGCAACAGTCAATTCTCAAATGTACAAATTTCAAAGTTGTACATCCCTGAGAACTGGTACCCTCTCTCTGATACTGAGCAGAGTCCCCTCTGATTATTTTGTTTCTTTGTTTCATTGTATAGTAGATCTGGGGACCACAAGTGGAAAAAGCCTGCACCTCCCTGCAGAGGTCTCTTCTGGAGACCTTCCAAATATCCTTTCTAGGAATTTGGTTTTGAAAGAGATGCTATGTTGTATCAGTAATGTAGGGCTTCATGTCTGGGGATAAAATTTGCTGATAATTATTTGGACTTTTTTTGTTCTGCACCTAACGATAAAATTCTCCTAAGGCCATTCTCTCCTTGGAGCTCTTTGCCTATTTATAATTAACAAGTTATTTGTTTTATGTGTATCTTCCCTTTTGGACCACAGACCCCATGACGGAAAACACCCTGTGTGTTTTGCCCATTGCTTTGCCCAGTTCCTCACAGTGTTTGGCCCAAATATTTGTTTTCTTTCTTTCTTTTTTTTAAATGGAAATACTGGGGATCGAACCGAGGACTTCATGCAGACTAAGCACACACTCTACCACTGAGCTATACCCTCGCCACCAAATATTTCTTGATTGACTACTGACTGAAGCAGTATTTCTGATTCTGTGCAAGTGAAAAGAGAAGTGGTGAAGGAGAGGATAGAGGGGAAATGGGCCCCCGTAAAGCAAGTTACTTTATAAAGTGTCCCACGTGGAGAGAGAAGCAGAATAAACCTCAGTCCTGAATTTGTCCTCTTCCTCTAAGGGGCCTGCCTAGATCTGGGTGTGCAGGCTTGCAAAAGGCTCAGATAAGCAGTGTAATAAAAATCATAAAATGCAAATCAACTTTTGTTGATTGTGTGATGGCAACATTACAGCACCCTAAAAGAGAGCGCTTTTGAATTATTTTGGATAATCCTCCATTTAAAGGCCGTAGTGTCCTAATTCACAAAGAACGTCAAGAGTTAGAGGAAATTAGGGGTCCAGGAGACAGCCACAGTGGGGTTGTATGTCCTGACTTGAAAATCTCTCTGTTCAAATCTCTTGTTTACTAAACCGTAACTCTAATCCTGGGACAAGAGATGGGAAACCCAGACTTTATCTAGCACGACTAAACTGTGATATGACTTCAAGGCTATTTCGTGGTGGTTAGCTATTTTTCATCTCTGATGAAACCGTAAGTCTTAGGTGACAGGAACTTCAAGGCATTAAAAAAGATGTAGGACAGAGCCAGGGAATTTTAAAAAATTTATTGTTCAGAGAAAATTACAAAAACTTCCAATCTAGACCTATTCAGAAAGAGAGCAGAGCTGTTTCCCTAAGACGAGGGAGCAGAAGGTAATTCCATGTGAATGATGGTCACCAATTAGTACTCTCCGTGCTTCACCAAGAATAGCAAGACCACCCTTCAGGGAACCTCAGGAAGAAATGCAGCCCCCTTCCCCTTGGAGTTCATTGGGGTCAAAAAAGTAAAAAAAAAGGGGGGGGAGGTATGTGTGTGTCTCTTTTTGCAGAGGAATCCAGTCCAAGGGAAAACTCCACCGCTACGGCCTTTAGGAAACTCACTGACGAAGGCTGATTCATAACCCTCACCACATTCATTTGAATTCATGTGTGCTAAGGACTGAGATTTAGCGGGCACTTAAACTTGTTAACGATGTTGCCTTAATATCGAGAATATAGTAAAACGTAGTCACGCAAATATATCTTGTCCCCACTGAAACTGTGGGTAATTAGTCAAATCCATTTCACCTGCCTTCATTAATCAAGGTTGTTTTAAAACTTGCCTGTCCTCCGAAGGGCAGTTAGCTTAAACAATAAGATGTTTGCCCAAGTTGTTCTGAACCGGTGGAGTCTAGCTCAGCTGGGCCAAGCGTAAGCCGCTTCCAGTTGGAGCTGAGCTGGTTAAGACTAGATGGGACCACGATCCCTCAACTGGGCATGCGCGAGGGTCGGCGCCCTCGGTGACCTTTCCGCGAGCAGAGGCCTGTAGCCTAAGTACGCCTGCGCAGAACCACAATTCCCGCACCCTTTCCCGATCGCTGTCCCTACACTCCCCACACCTCAGACCAGCCTGCTTCTTCATCCCCTAGCCCCTGTATACCCTGGCCCCTTGCCTTCTGAGAGGAAGATTTGAGATTTGTTTCCCCCCTCTTCTTGCGGGGTTTCCTTGGCGGAATTAACTCCATGCTGCAAACCGCTGCGTCTCGGCGTTTTGGTTGCTGTAAATCAGGCGAAACGAACCTGGTTCCGTAATACGGTCGAAGAAAACAAAAGCGGCTGTAACCTGGGCAGAATAATGGTAAGCAAAGGCTTTACACTGCTTCAGGCAGAGGCCTGTTGTTTCTTTACTCATAACGCTTTTCTTTAGTTTCACCAGAAGACGTTAGAATCATTTCAGATCTGGAGTGACCCTCCCAGACCTTCTCTTCCTGGGACCTGTTTTTTGTCCCACAGGTTAAAGTCCCCCTTCATCTAGGCTTTCTCTATAGAACAGCTGGTGATAAGGGTGGTGGTGGCGGTGAGGGGTGGAGGGTGGGCAGGGGAGGCAGGAATGTTTGTAAATGGCATCCCCTGGACCAAGGTAGTAATACCTACTCGAGAGAGAGGAGAAAAATCTAGGTTTTCTTTGAGATTCCCAGGGTAGAGCTGGCAGTAATGAGGTGTAACTACATAGCCAGACTTTCCACGTGGCCTCAGCTTTGGTAGTGATTTTTCATCTGTGTTGGAGTAAGAGTAGTGAAATACAGCAATAAAGGTGGGTAGGGGATGCTGGGGCCGGCGGGGAGGTTTGATAACTCTGGGCAGTTTGTCTGAAGGTGAAGAGGCCTCCCAGCCTCTTCAGGGCCTCCTGTAACTGAGGACAGGAAATTGCACAGCTGGTTTCAATGAAGGGCACTTAGAGGCATGAGCTGCCAGCCAAGCAGGGAGACCTGCCCTTGCCCAGCAGCTCTGCGGGATTCAAGAGGTACGTGTGAGGATCATCTCTGCGCAGGCACTGCTCCTCGTGCTTTGCACATCTCCACCTTTATCACCCCCAAGTGGTGTCATGTAGATGTGGTAGGTGAAGATCAGAGAGTTCCAGCAACTTGCCCAAGGTCACACAGCAAGCAGGTGACTAAAGTCTGACTTAAGAATTTTTCTCGGACTCAACTATTCCTTCTACGAAGAATGTTTATCTTTGTTTTTCCTCCCTCCCTCCCCAAGTTTCAGAGAGACAATCTCCCAGGAGGAGAAACAATTGAGTATTTGTTTTACTGACATGCATTTTGCTACCCCACAGAACATTCTGGTGGCTGCTTGGAGCTACAAAGCAGCAGCTGCCACTTTCTTTGCCCCAGGTGCTGACTTGGTGATTGCCTTCGGTCATGGAAAGTCCCTTCCCCAGATAGACTCTGGTTTTCCACTGGCTTTTGCTGCTGCTAAAATAAAACCGAGCTAATCCCTCAACCCTCCAGCGTTAACAGGTGGGGCTGCCTCTCCCGCATTCATCAGAGGTGCGAAGAGGCCGTTTTTTTTTTTTAATGTGCACCGTTTTGCCCCTCTGTCCACCACGTCTCTGTCTGCCAGCTGGACTGCTCTTGTTACTCGGTGCCTCTTTGCCAAGAGCCTCTTCACAGTGGCTGTCTTTCTCCGGTTACCCTCTTGCTGCACTTGGCTTTCAGTTTCCTTCCCTTCTCTTTTGGAGAGCGAAGCCAGGAGCACAGACAGAATTTGCACTGCATGTGGCCTGCACTGCATGTGGATGAGGGACCAGGAGTAACTCTGGCTGCCCCTCCACCCGTGGTCCTGTCAGCCCCACAGATGCAGCTGAACGGCTTCCTTGTGTCCTCCAACCTGGAGTCGGCGTTGCAGAAAGAACTTGCAACACGTACATTTAGAACTGATGTTTATAAGAGCAGGGTTGGGTTTTTAGTCCTGCTGCTGAGAACAAAGCTGACCACAATGTGTGAGTTTATAGAACAAGACATTGTCGAAAAACATCCAGAAAAAAAATACAACAGCACAATCCATCCATTTCTACAGGGTCCCCTCCCCATTTCTATGGACATATTTCCCAAACAAGTTACCAAACAGGTAGCATGTCCTACAATGTGTTTACTTCAGGCACAGGGCTACTTGCACAGATTTTGTTGTTCAGATTTCCTCTTCCTTTTTTTTTTGATTTGAAACTTTTAATTAAATTTAAAATTTATTATTATCTAAAAATAAATGAGTTAGGTCAAATCAGCGAAAGTTAAACAGGTTCGAAATTTGTGTTAGATGTTAGACTAATGGAACCATTTAATAGGTGGCCTTTATATGGCCTATGCAAGCCAGCAATTTTTAAGGAATGAAGAGTAACAGAAGACCAATTACAAATTTGGGGGCATTCTGGGAAAAAAAATCACACGATGTTTCATTGAAAATATCTTTGTTTTTAAAAATCAGGGCAAGTTTGCTATTCAGCCTTCCAAAAAGTGTTTTTGAACATTATGCAAATATTTTAGGGAAAGACTAATATATTTTAAAAGAGTGGCTGATAGGTTTCTCTAGTGCAGGGTCAGGAAAGGAGAAGTGACAGGGGACTTCAATTTCACAGGCAAATATATCATGTGTGCACATTTGTACGTCAATTTTCTGATGACATCACCCTGTAGGTAACAAGGGAATCTGGTCAAAATAGGACTTCCTGGGGGCAGACAGAGTGGAGTGGGATGCTGAGCTTTTTCACATGTACTAGGGAGAGGATGCGAATCAGTTGCAACAAAGAGACAACCCTAAATCAGCCATGTTCTTTGCAAATGGAGAGGAGGGTGGAATGCATTCCCCCTGAGAGTGACTTCCAGAGAGAACTTCGGAGCCAGTCTGGAGCCCCCCATCTGCATAAAACAGCAGAGAGGGGGGCTTGGCCGGTGGTACAGGAGCCCTAGTGCGGTTCCCCTGGTTAGAACACTTATTCCTTCCGCAAGGGTGATGCGGGCACAGAATGAGCTGTTTGGATTGGAGGCACGAGGAAATGCTGCTGCCTTCGCTGCATCTGCTCCAGAAGCCCCGGCCTTAGGGTGAGGCCTGTTTGCTTGCTGCTAATGTCACCAGTCTCTTAGTGCTATTGGTCATTTCTCTTGTTCCTCCTGTTGCTGGAAGGGGTTTCTGGTTTCTCCTTCCCTGTAGAGCTCGTTGGTGGACTAATAGGGCCTTCTTAAGAAGGCAGAGCCTGAGTCATGGGGTCAGCACACAACGGTGACATGAAGACACCAAGGAACAGGGAAGTGCCCACGCCTTGGTCCCGGAGACAGTTACCCGCCAGGAGTGTGCAGCATGGCCCTGGAGTCAGTCCTCATGTGGTTGGGAACCAGAGGGATGCATACAGCACTCCTGACTCCTGCTGAAGAGGTGAAGGGCTGTGCTATCGTCTATCCCAGGTGGGTAGGGCCTTGGGTCCGCCCTCTACCAGACTGCAAGGAGTCCCATCATCCCAGGACCTTGGAGAAGCGGGCTTGTGTTCTGGGACGTCTAGAGCAGCAGATGTTACAGAGGTGCCGGCCCAGGGGGCCGGCCCTGAGTTTCTGGGCAGGAAATTGGAGGTACTGGCCTTTCTGGGCAGGGAGGCAGCTGGAGACAAGAGAGCAGCATGATTCCCCTGTGGCTGCAAGTCTCAGGTGAGGGTGGGAGGAGTCCCAGGACAGAGCGCCGACTTTGATGCAGCTTTTGTCCATGTCTGAGTCGTGATGCAAGGGGTGGTGAATGTCTCGGCTCTGCAGGGCTTGCGTCTACCCACAGCCATGGCTTCCCTTCTGCCTCCCTTCTTGCTGGTTTGGGTCGCCCTGTAGCATTTCTCCTCTCTGTGTGAATGTGTACAGAGCTGACCGACAGAGGACCCGCGGAGCATTTGGCAGTGGTTACTTTGCTGCAGTCCCTGTATTTTTCATGAAACAGCACCAAGATCGATCACTCCCACTCCCTGCTCTTAATGCTGGATGCTTAAAAGACAGGGATCTGGTCTCTCCGAACCACATCCAGGTCATCATCCAGGGTTAACAAAACCTGGGAGGAGAGGGGCAGAGAGACAGAGGAACACAGTCGCAGTAAGTCCCTGCTTTCTCTCTGACTCACAAGTGCTCTCACTTGATTTTGTGTTTGCTGCAGCTTCCTGCAGTGCCGTGCTCTTAACAGGCACTTGCTATAATTATATAGCTCATTTATTAGTTAATTCAAAAATTAATCAAGGGTCTATTATGTGATATTCTAGATCAACTATGTTTGGAACAAAAGAGACAAAAATCTTTACCCTGATGGGGCTTAAATTTGACGGAGGCCTTCAGACATGAAGCAAATGCATGAGCAAAATCTAGTACGTTAGATAGTAAGATGTACTAAGGATAAAAATTAAACTGGAGGGACTAAAGGAAGTATGGGATGGAGAGAGGTAAAAAAAATTTTTGGGGGGTGGCCAGGGACATCTATCATTTAGAAGGGGACATTTGGGTCAGAGCCTAAAGAGAATGAAATCTTGTTGCATAGAATATTACTGAGTAAGAACAGTACCCTCATCCTCCATTTTATTCCCTGTATCACCACTCTCTCCCCATGGAACTCTAAGCTCGACCTGAGAGAAAGTGCCTATCAAAAACAAAAGCCAAAAGGAACAATTCTCGTAGAGATTGGTTAAACTTCCCAAACTGGCCACTAGGGGGCAGCCCTGCTCCACTCTTGAGGTTACATGGTGGAGACTAAAGCTAAGTGGGCAGTGTGAACCCAGAAGGCCTAGCAAGGATGTTATTTGTTAACTGACCTTGTGCACAGGCACCACGGACTCTTATTTTGGAAAAGTCAAAATTAAGACTAAAGGATGCCAGCAATGATCGTCCTGGGTTGTTAAGTGTGCATGGCTTCTGCGTAGGTATTCGGGCAAAAAAAATGGAGGGACTACAGGAGAGAATTGGATGAGTCTGGTTAGAAGGCAACAGAGGCCTGGCTGCTCTCCTGAGCCGCTCCAGGAATGCGTAAACTATTTGTAAGAAATTCAGTGAGACTGGAAGACGGGGAGGAACATGAGTACAGCACAAGGAGGAATATCCTAATGTTGTTGAAACTGTAGCCAGTGCCAAAAGCGGTTCTGGGGGACCTGGGCATGTGAGTTCTAATCACCAGATCAGTCCAAATACTATGCAACTGAAGGAACATTATCACTCTGTGTCTTTAAAGTATTGAAGAGTAAGAAGGAAAATAAAGATCTAACCGAAGGATACAATGTAAAAAAAAAAATCTCTGCATGAATTACAATAAAGAGTTGGAAAGGGAAATTAAAAATTCAAAAGGGATGTAAGGAAGAAGGGAAGAGAAAAAAGAGCACAGGATGTAAAGAGAGAAAATGAAAAGGTTTTATATACTCACCAAGAATGAGAAAAACAGGGCAGTCGCAGAGAGGAAGTGCCAGATGTCATGGTCGTCAAAGAAATCCAGCAGGATACACTCGCGGTTCTTCTCCCGGGATTCGGCTGGGGTTCCCTGGAAGAAGGTGAGACAGGATGTGGGACAGCAGGCCCACAGTTCAACTCTTTAGAAGGCTGAGTATCCGGAAAGCTACAAAATTGCTACTAGATGCCTGTGTCAAAACGTTAGCTTCCAATAAAACATACGTCCACACAAAAATTTGTCCACAAATGTTCCCAGCAGCAGCATTCCAACATTCATAAAAGTCCAAAAGTGGAAATGACCCAAATGTCCATCAACTGATGAACAGACAGATAAAATGCAGGATATTCACACCATGGAATATTCAGCAGTAAAGACATGAAGTGCTGATACATCTACACATGGGTGGGCCTGCAAAACATTATGCTGAGTGATGCAATCCAGACTCAAAGACCACACGTTATGTGAGTCCATTTATATGAAATTTCCATAACAGGTAGATCTATAGAGACAAAGGGTAGATTTGGGGTTGCCCAAGGCTAAGGGGTTTGGGAGAAATAGGGTGTCACTGCTAATGGGCGCAGGTTTTTTTCTGGGGTGATTAAAATATTCTAAAGTTGACTGTGGTGATGATGGTGATGGAGACCTAAGACTTCCTCCCTGTTCGGTGCCTCAGATGATATCACCAGTTTCCTAGGCCTCAGTTTTCCTATCTGTGAACTGGATTTAATAAAAACCTGTGCCTGGGCGTATGGTTGGTGATTATGATGCAAAAGTTGGAGAAGATACACTAATCAAGGTCTTTGTACATATTAAACATCCATTGGGAACAGTGTCGTACTCAAAGTACGACACATAACGATCACATTTACAGTGTTGGTAGGGCTTCCACAGTTATGAACCATCACCCTGATAATGATGACAACGTGCCATTTATTGAACATTTATGTTTGGATATTTAAAACCATCCCCTTTGGCGGGGGGAATTATGTTTGTTTAATTAATTTTTTGATGGAGGTACTAGGGATTGAACCCAGGACCTTGTCATGGTAAGCAGGCACTCCACCACTGAGCTATACTCTCCCTCCTAAAACCATCCCTTTTAGAGAAGGCTTTCAGGTTAGAGAATATAAAGAAGTAGACAGCAACAAGCACACGAGGAGAAGGAGGGAGGAAGGTCAAAAAGGCAAAATGGAGAGAGGACATCATCTTGGAAAAGAAAACTGTTCTTACCTCCCAGCTGCTGAGATTCTGGAAGAAAAAATACAGGGCGGCAGCCCACACCACGGCGGTGGCCACGATGCAGAAGAGTGGGATTGGGAGGACCTTCTCGGAGCTGCGAAGCTGCGGGTGAGAGCAGATGCTGCCAAGCCGCACCCACCACCCGTAGGGGGCCTGCGGCACCCGGCTCCCAGCCGCCACTCTTACCTTCATGATGATGTAGAAGGCCAGGTAGAGCAGCAGGTTACAGATGAAGATGCCCAGCATGTAGGAAGCAAAGTCCCTCGGTCGATAGATCAGTCCGAAGAGGGCACTGAGCACACAGAGGAGTTATTTTGTGGCCATGAAGGTGGATTTGTAACATTATTGGCTTTTTCACTCCCCCAACCCCATTTTTGGTGGGAGGGGAATTAAAAAAAAACTTATAAGTAACTTTCAATTTATTACATCTCCAGAACATTCATTTTTAATGAATTATAAAGTTACTGTATATGGATGTACTATCACCCTTCCTGTCTGGTCTTCTCTCTGTCCAGTTGAATTTCTCATAAAAAACACTGCAACAATAAATGAGTACCTTCATACATACTGTGTTTTTTTTCTTTTTGCATTTAAGATTAATTTATTAGAATAGACTACTAGAAGTAGAATTATGTTAAAAATTGGCTTGACATGCAATATCAAATGTTTGCTAGCTGTCTAATTCTGAAGTTCATTTTGGCTGAGGTTTGGCCTTAATTTGTTCCAAATTTCTATTCAGTTGTAACAGAAGACTTTATTGTGTAGCCCTTCTTTATCTCCTGGTTTTGAAAAGCTTGTTTTTAATAAATACACACATACACCATGCACGCATATATAGTTGAATTTCTGTCCTCTTCATTCTGATTCACTAATTTATATTTCTAATTTCAGATCAGTGCCTTTCTGTGGAGTTACTGTTTTATAATACGTTAGATTATCTGGTTAGGCTAGCTTGCATGATCCAATATGGTAGTCACATGTGGCTATTTAAATAAAAATTAAAAATAAATTCAATTCTTCAGTCACATCACATTTCAAGTGCTCAATAGCCACAGGTGGCTAATAGCTGCTGTATCGGGCAGTACAGTATAGGACACATCATTCCAGAAAGTTCTACTGGCTAATTCTGGGCCATCACTATCTACCTTTGCCCCTCCTTTCTTCTGTTAATCTTCTTTTGCAGAGACCATTGGAAATTTTGTTTTACTAGGCAAATAATTTCAAAATAAAATCCTATTAATTCCATTTCTAAATCTAAATTTCCACATTAGCCTGAGAATTGATATCTTTACAATAATCATCTCACCCAGGGCATACCATCTCTTCATTTAGCTAAGTTTTCCTCCGTGTCTCCGAATGAGGAAATTAAATTTTCTGCAGAAAGATTCTGCACATCTCTCAAAGTTTATTCCTAAGTATTTTTAATGTAAAGCTGTTATTAATGGACTCTTAATTTTTTATTCCAGCTGACTTTATTCTATATAATATGGGAAATTTCATCCTCTCAGAATTTGAAATCTTCAGTATACCAAAAATTCTTGTATACCCTTCACTCAGATTTATCAATTATTAGCATTTGGCCACATCTGTATTCTCTCTCTCATTCTGTCTCTGTGTATACATACATAAATACACATATCTATTCATACATCTCTATATATGAATACATACACACACCACTGTTCTTCAGGACTGTGTGAGAGTGAGTTTTAAAATAACATCCAAGGTTCATATTAGATCACTCCATCTCTTGTAATGTTCATGGGAAACTGAGGATGGAGAAACTGAGGGAGGTAACCCCCCACCAGGCAATCACAGTACTAGTGACTATTGTACCTCATTCACTCCCACAGGTTTTGGTGTCCCATAGAGCTCCTGTCTAAGAAGAAAGAGGCTGTCCACCTTGTCTTTTGAACAGACTGTGGGTTTGATTTTAGGGCTGTAAGAGGCAGGGGCAAGACAGGTGATTCTGACCCGGTTACTGTATCTCCTACCTGCACCCTGTCTTACAGAGTCACCAGGACTGTCGGGTCTGCCCTGAAAGGGTGATCAGGAGAGCATCGCAGGTGACCATGGCCAGGCATCACCCATCTCGACTTGTCCCCGAGTAAAGGACAATCCTTCACAGGTATGGACCTTCCCCAAGGGAATCCCTGAGGCGACAACATTGTGGGAGGTTTCTTCCACAAGCATATGACACCCGAATGAGGTTCAAATTCTCATAACTTGATTCTGACTTCCCTGGTGGTGTGCCTCCTTCTTCTTATCTGATGTCTTAAAGGGAGGAGGAGCAGGGAGTCATCTTTCTAGCAAAGGCCACTGACCCAGAGGAGCCTGTCAGCTAAGAACTGCTAAGAAAAGCAGCTAAACGTATTTTTTGAGGGATCAGTAAAATATCACTCATTCACATTTTAAAGTTGTGAATAAGTTGCAAAAAGTAGATACAGGAAATACAGCTGGCAAAAACATACTTCTGTTGCACTGTTCTACTTTTGAGATCATTTGATGAAACAAGGCCAAGGTGATAATGAGGGGAAAAAAGGAAGAAGAATGATATAGGTGGATTAGGAAGACAGAACCAGAGGGAAAGAAAGAAATAGGAAAGACTTATGCACACACCTAGTAAGGAAGAGAAATGCCTGTTAGGTAGCCTTTATGGAAAGTTCTAAAAAAGACTTTAAAACTGTTGCAATTTTGCAACTGCTGGCATAATTCATCTCTCTCTCTATCTATATATGTGTGCCTGTGTGTGTGTCTATGTGCATATATATTCAATCTAATTTATCCACATAGAACAAATTTGATATTTGTCTTATTGAACAATTGAGCTCAAGGCATCAATGAGTTGAACTCAGTGGGTTAAGAGAGGCCCTCCTGGTGCACAACAGTTTCCTAGTACATTCTTTGTGGGAGGAAAATAGCTTTCTTTCAAGTCTCTAGAACAAGCACAGTCCTATGCTCTCCTGAATTTCAGATTTCTTTATAAAAATGGCAGCCAAGGAGAGGTAAACCACAATGTTACAGAGAAACATGTTTTCCTAAGACTACTTACAAGGACCAGTTAACCAGATTGCCCACGACGAGCAACACCATTCTGTCCTGGAAAGGAGGAAAGAAGGCATCAAATGAGAAGCTGCAAACTCTGCTTTCTTAAAACTTGCTGTAGGGGAAGCATCAAATATGGGAAAACAATCGCCTTAGTGAAAAAAATCTTTTCTGTGGTTTGAAGAGGGCTGCCCCTATGGTGGGACACTCATCCTCTGCGAGGACTAAATGGCAAAGCCTCTGACTGCAAACAGATGGGACGTCACCTGGGCCCACCTCTCGGTGTGTGCTGAATACTCAGGAGTTAAGAGAATTCTACCACTGGTGTTGCGTAACCAAGGACTCTTCCCCTGCGTTGTGTTAGCTGGTGGGCTCTAAGGCAGCTCTTGGGACTGACCTGTAATTAATTAGTTTCCCACCCCTTACTCTCCAAGGAGGCCCTGCAGCTCCTGGGCTCCTGGATTCTAAACACATGGCCTTAAGATTAAAGTTATTGGTAGGGGAGAAAATAGGAAAGGTCTGTCTCAAAGAACAGTTCCTCTGATGTGCTTTACTCACAGTCTGTTCCTGCTCCTTCGTCTACTACTAATTACAGCTTTTAGGCGCTACCCGATTATGCTTTAATTTGCATGGCCACTCATCTGTTTAAAAGTAGGGATTCTCTTTATGGGTGATCCATTAAATTTGGAGGAAATAACTTCATTAAAAAAAAATTCACCTCTTAGAAAGGCCAAAATCCAAAATACTAATAACACCAATTGGTGGCGAGCAACAGGAATTCTTATTCATGGCTGATGGGGATGTGAAATAGTCCAACCATTCTGGAAGACAGAATGGCAGTTTCCTAGAAAACTAAACATACTTTGACTATAGGATCCAGCAGTCGTGTTCCTTGGTATTTGCCGAAAGGAGTTGAAAACATATGCCTACACAAAAAGCTGCGCACATTTTTTTTATATAGCGGGTTTACTCATAATTGCCAAAACTTGGAAGCAACCAAAATATCCTTCAGTAGGCGAATGAATAAATAAACTGTGGGACATTCAGACAATAGAATATTAGTACCAAAAAGAAATGAGCTGTCCAGCCATGAAAAGACATGGAGGAAAAGATAAGTGCATATTAAGTGAAAGAAGCCAATCTGAAAAGGCTACATACTATGTTATTCTGGAAAAGGTAAGACAAAGGAGAAAGTAAAAAGATCAGTGGTTGCCAGGGGTTGGTGGGGCGAGGAGGGTGGAAGAGCAGGTGGAGCACTGCGGAGTTTCAGGGCAGGAAACGTCCTTGTTTGATGCTCTAATGATGGATACAGGTCATTACAAACTTGTCACAACTCAGAGACTGTACAAAATCAAGAGTGAACTGTAATGTAAACTATGAACTTTGATTATGACGTGTTACCATAGGTTCATTGACTGCAACAAATGTGTCTCTCTGGTGGGCGATGTTGATAATTGGAGAGGCTGTGCCTGTGTGGGGGAGGGGGTATATGGGAAATCTCTGCATTCTCCAAAACACTAAAAACTTTAAAAATGCTCTAATAATAGTCTATTTAAAAAAAATAAAGACAGCCTGCATCAATTCATGTAAAAATCCCAAACCACTAGTTGCCCCTCGTGGTTCACAGCTAAGGCACACTTATCTCTAAGAATACGGGTCCTAATGGGCTTTTAAATTCTCACCTGAGTAAAACCTTCCAGCCTCAATTCTCTCAAGATTTAGTGCCCACAGCTCCTGCCTAGGCTCTCGAGGGCTGAAACATCCCCACATTCATTTCTGTAAAAATCCTTCTGACTATAAACATTATATGCCAGGCCCAAATGGCATCACTAGTTCTGACCACAGTGCTGTGTAGAGGTTGGAGCAGTGGCTCAGAGGAGGTAGGTAGCCTTCCCAAGGCCAATGACCAGCACGCCAGGGCAACTGGGACCAGAGCCCTGATCGCTCTGCTCAGGGTAGAAATGTGTAGTATACTGAAAACCACAAGATGGACTTTTTAAAAGTGTATTTCCACCATCAAGCAATAACTACAATTTTTAAAAAGCATTCTTTTTTTAATTGTAAGTACTGGGAATTGAACCCAGGACCTCATGCACGTTAAGCATGCGTTCTACCACTGAGCTATACCCCAACCTCTATAAATTTTTTCTTTTTTTTTCATTTTTATTGGTGAAAAAGAATTCTTGCTTACTGTAAAAATCAAACAATGTATAAAAAGCAAACACATCTAACGTGGAAAGTGTTAGTTCTGATGAGAGTGATTGGAGGGACAGTTTGTCCCCAGTTTGCTTGGGACAGTCCAAGTGTCATTACTAATAGTGCCCTCTTTTTCACTTTGACAAATGAAATCGTGCCTCTTTGGGAATGATTCTGGGGACACCCTCTCTTGATCCTCCCCCCCAGCAGTCATCACTGTCTAATAGTTAGTGTGTGTATGTGTATTCTTTATATACTAGCAATTTTTCATGTATAAAAAGGGAACCATCCCAGCTTGCCTAGAGTGAGAAGGGTAAGCAAGACGCCTCTTCCCTCGCTAACTGGACCTCAGCCACCCTAGGCCACCTGCCCCTCTTGGTTTAGGGAGCCTTGAGTAACTGCCCCGAGCCTGCCCCTCCTGCAGGGAGCACGGCGACACGCACGTACCGTGTACAGAGGCCGGCTGCACTGCTGGAGGCAGTCCGTGTAGAACACCATAGCGGCGCGCCGGAAGATCCCCAAATCTGCCGATGACACAGTCACATGGTAAGAAGGATTAATCAGAGAATACAAAACTCCCCTATGGCCCAAGCAGGACGATACTGTCTTCACCTCAGAAAAACAGTGCTTTGCATCTGAGAGGTTGGCAATAAATGTTTGTTTTAAACAATGGCGCCCACAACCACCTGTGCTTCCACGGCTCTGTGCCGTGTCCACACAGAAAGGCAGGCAAGATCCACATGAGTTAACAGGCGCTCACAAGGCGCCTGGGCAGCTGGCCAGCTCTCCTACGGCTTCCAGTTCTCCTCTGTTTATAGTTTACTCTGGTGGTGCTTTGTTCACAGCAGAGATGTTATGGGGCCTCTCAAAAGTCACCTTAAAACATCTGCTGACTCTAGACCATGGGAAATCTTAGCTTGCAAAAATTCTAACATATTTCTCAGTGTGGTTATAAGTCAGGATTGAACCAGGGGATACTGAGATCTACTAAGTATGTTCTTAGAAAGCCTGAATGTGTATTGAAACAATAATTAAAGGAACATAAGTTAAGATGGGAGAGAAAAAGACAGGAAAGATTTTTTAATGCAACCCTTCAAAAGGATGGAATAAAAAACAGTGAGGGTGTGGGTTATAACTGTTACATGAACAGGGTCAGGGGCCAGGTGGGGCTGTCGTTTTGTGAGCCATCCACATGTGGATGTCACAGGCGAGGCTGGGGGCTGCCAAAGCAAGGATTTCAGTGAGCGTGGGCCCCAGCTCTGTTGTGAATGCTGCTATTCTTCAAGGCTACCCCTGGGGTCAGTTTAACCCAGATAGATACAGTGAGGGAGGAAGGAGGGACGGCTGTATCCATGCAACAGCCCAGAAGAGGCGCACTGCAGGCTGGATTGGAGTGCTTCCCTGCCTCTGAGCCTCTCTCTGCACCCCCTTCCCACCAAGTCCTGCCCAATCTGGAAGGGGGTATTTAGGGAGCAGAGTTGGCGGGTCAGCCGGGCAGGTTGCTTCTTTAAGAGAAAAATCTAGAAAACCCTGGGGAGGGTGGCTGAACGTTACCTGTGTCAGACCCATCTGAATCAGTGGTAAGCAGAGAAATAAGGGGGAAAAAAGAAAAAAAGATTTGTGAGAAGGTAGCCAAACAGGTAAACTACTGGTCATTTTATTTTTCTCTCAAAACAGGTGACTTTAATCTTGTTTGCTCATCATAAAGAACATAGACTCTCTGCCTGTCTCAAACATTCAGAAGTTCACTATTCTTCAAAGTGCAAATCAGACTTTTCTCTCTTCCTGATACTTCCGTGCACCACTGGCAACTTACAATCCATCCTCTCCCTGTGGTCCTTTTCTGGAAGCAAGGGACACAATAGTGATCGGGGCAAGTGGCTCTACAGTTTTCTGTTGTACTTAAGAAATGCTCCGTCTCATTGCTACTGCCTTTCCTGTGTCCACACTTACTTTCAAGTGTGACCCAAGGGCCACAGAGAAAGGAGTCTGTGATTTAAGAAAGCAAAGGCAGCTTATGAAATGGGTGGAGAGGTTGGTGTTGCCTGAACAACTGTCCATTAACTCAGCTTCCTGCCTTTGGACTAAATGTAGGTGCAATCGTCAAGATGAAATAGCAAGTTTTCCTTTTGACTCTGGTAAATCTGTAACCACTTGGGGAAGATTCTCTAAGTGCAGAAATTTAAAATATTCAGTTAAGCTGTGCAAGGGCTATTTTCCCTTTACCCCTACAGACCCACTGCCATGTCTCTCTGTCCTCACCACGCCCGGGGAGGCTGATTGTAGGGACCATTCAGTGGGTCCCCCACTGCCCATAGATTTGGACAATGAGAAACCCCAGCAGGAGACTGGAGGGACAGAGGAAGGCGAATGAGCTCAAAGTATTATCTGCTCACTGCCCTCCCTGTGAGGTTGCCTGTCTGTCAACCAAACCGCTGCTCCTTTCCTGGAGACTTCCTCTCCACGATGCCCTCCTTCCACGTTTTGGTAGCTACTTTCTCCATGGCCTTTCGGGCCTGTGAACAGTAAAGCTGCTCCCACTCTTCTCTGCCCCACCCCTGTCTTCATGAAGAGTCCTTCTGGGAATAAATCCTACTCAGTCTTCGTGTGTGACATCTTTTTCTGGTGAGGACCCTGACAAACTGTCACATGGTTATAATAGACTACAATAAATTTCTCCTTTTTAGAAAGGTAAATAAATGAATTCAGTGTTGTAAAATTGCATGGGGCAAAGGTGGTATAAATATATTAAAAGCTTTTCCATGTATTAATGGTCACAGTCACTACATATATCTGTTTTCAAGTTTATTTTTCCAAATCAGAGAACCGAGAAAAACAGTGCTCAAATAATTTTCCTTATGAGAGCTTAGTTTGTATGACTGAGGGAAGTCATACAAACTAAACTCTCATTGTGGAGACAAACTCTTCAGTGGGGAGGACTGGCCATGTGCTGGGCACTGTACCAAATGTTCTACACAACTGTCTGTTGACGCTTCCACTGGGGCATTTGGAGGTGGACTGGCTTTGTAATGCCAAGAGTAAATCTACTGACTATGCCAAAGGGGAAAACCAAACTGCCAGCATGAGAGATTATTTTATTTGGTCCTACTCTTAAAGCCACTTGTTTAAGTAGAGTTAGTCACTCTTAGATCTGGGCAAGAGGGGTGCCATATTTTAAAGGCCTCCATTCCCCAATGAATGACGAGTCTGTGGGGCAAAGGGACTGCTCCTTCTCCTCCCAGGCCACATTCTGAGTTCTTGGACCCCAGAATTCCCTGCTCTGATGGTCTGAGCCTACTGTCAAAGCCTGCACAGCCCTGTTCCCTGGTTTATCTTCCTGAGGGCAGGTGGTACGACTAGAGTATGCACCAGTAGGGGCAAGGAGACCCCTTAGATGCAGGACAGAGCCAGAGGCAGGAAGGAAAGAGGGGCAGGGGCTGGGACCAGCTCTCCTGTACAGCTATGTTCTGGACTGTTCTTCCACAGACCTGAGAATTTAAAATTTGAACCTGTACCTTCTAGGTTGTAATAAAAGTATATTTATCAGTTTGTTGGTTTTCCAGTCTGCTTTATAGCTTAAAAGTATATATACATAGTGTGTGTACTTCTTTTTACAGTCTTGCTCTGGGCTCTGAAAATATTAGGGATGGGCCTATGTTTATATTATAATGCTTTTTCTTGAAATACACAAATGAATTTTCAGTCTGACTCCCTGGACCTTAAAATGACTGGTGAAATTTAAATGCTCTAAAAAGACTTGAACCTGCTCCCGTGTATGATGGCTGACCAACAGCAGATCAGAAGCTGGTTTCTGTAGAATACTTGGTGTTCAAATGTGATACATCCACATTGTCAGCATCCTGCAGGTGTCCAGCCTCTAAGACTGACAAATTGGCCTGAAAAAGTTCCAGTTCCCAAGTTTGAAAGTAATAGATAATTCAGTCTTGATAACCATTTAGCCTGGTTAGAGAAATCCTCCTTTTAAATGCTAAAAATGAAAAATATTCTTCCAGATAGAATGAGTGGTGTGATGATATACCATTCTGCAAACACACTTTCAAGGTTTGATGAATTGTAAAGCCTCTGGGACTTAGGGCTGGAGGCATGCCCCCACTCTGAGGTATACCAAGCTCAGTTTCTCGGCTGAAGTTACAACTAGTGATAACAGCTTATTGCAATCCTGTGCAGGACGGGAAGCTCTTGAAGAGAATTCGTGCTATTAAACACACACAGAATTTGGAGCAGGTGCTCACAGTGACCAGTAACACTTCGGTTTAGGATAAACGAAGACAATTCTTTCTCAGGGTAAGTTGATCAGCATGTTTCACGTAGAGTAAGTAACAGGTGACTCACCTATCTTGAAACGACCCATGTAGTAGATCTGGGTGCTGAGGGCCAGAGAAGCCAGAATATGGATTGCAGAGAAGATGATCCAGAACCAGATGTCATTTTTCCCAAACACCTAGGAGTAAAGATGGAAGTTACTTTCATCTGCGTTTGTCCCCAGAGAGCCTGCTGAAATTGTTCCTTCTCTTGTGTATGCGTAAGGAGTCAAAATCCAAGCTGTGTGTGCATTTTGGGTTTTCCCCTTGCTCTTAGCTCATGGAGATCTTATTGCACCTGGGTCAGAATAATGGCTACCTGACCAAAGAAAATGGGAAAGAGAAGAAATAGGCGAGGCAGCTGAACAGTAGGTGAAGAGGTGACAGGTCTAAAGTTGGGGCCTGATGCTCTTCAAGTAACAGAAGACAACTAAAAGTTGTCCACACACGTTTAGGAAGTGTTTTCTGTTCTTTCAAGTCAAACTCTGTTCCAAGAGCCTGTACATCTCTATTCCAGCCTCACTGAGTCAGGTCCCAGCTTTATATTAGCACTGTCCGGGGGCAGTATTCCAGGTGCCTGTTACATTATTAAAAATAGTAGCTAAAGGTGGTTGGTGGGTATAGCTCAGTGGTAGAGCGCATGCTTAGTATGCACAAGCTCCTGGGTTCAAGTCCCACTACCTCCATTAAAAAAAATGCTAGCTAAACAACGCAGTGCCGCGAACAGACCAGTGATGAGAGTCTGTCACGAGTCAAGGATTATGACTAATGCAAACTTGTCCGCCTGAGGGCCAAAAAAACAACCAACAGCCTCTCAGGAGGGTACTTTCTGAAAGCCGGGCTGGGGAGGGACGCACCACTCCGAGGACGGTGAGCGTGATGACCACCGCGAAGGAGGCGTAGGCGGCGTAGGCGCTGGCGTTGATGTCCGGGTGGCGCGTCTGGTAGAGCTTAAGCATGCACAGGCCGGCGATCATGTACATGAAGGAGGTGTCTGAGGAGAAGCCAGAGGGTCATTTCCCTTCAGCCTCAGAGAACCCTCTCCCTTCAGGCCTTGGAGCGTGGGGACCTCCACACGCCAGCCTCTCTGGGCAAACCCCACACACTCTGCTGCTACCCGCCTCCAAGGGGTGTTCCTGGTTCGCAGAAGAAGAGTGTCAGGTGACTTGATGGATAATAGACTATCCCCACTTGCAGGGGGTTTGTGTACAAGTGCTGCTGTTCAGGCAGCCCAACAAAAGAACCCCTAATGATGACAGGGCAATGTTTCGCCTAGGTGGGCGTCGGAGGTCCTTCTCAGCATCCTGAAACAGAACCACACTGGTTACTGCTAGTACATACAGTTTTCTAGCCTAGGGATGGAAAACAGCTGGAAGTTAAATGTGGCTTAGCTGCATGAGGGTTAGGGAAATGCGAACTAAACAATGCCATGTCCCGTGTTACTCAAAAATGTAGCAGAACACTTAAATGTCTAACAGTAACACCTTAGTGATGATGTGGGGGAAGTGGAAACTTTCACTTGGAGTGGGAATTAATATTCTGGAGAGAAACTTGGCAGTTTTTGGTAAAATGGAAGATGCATAAGCCAGGTGATCCCCAAATTCTACTTCTGGGTGTCCCAGGGAACCTCCTCTCATATGTGCACAGAGACATAGATGAAGATACTCACTGCAGCACTGTCTGTACCAGCAAAATATTGGCAACATCTAAGTATTGCTCAACAGAGGAAACGATAAATGCGGTATATTTTTGTCACAGAATGACAATCTTTAAATATGAATGAGCTGGATATCCATGATTCAATATTAATAAATCTTAGAACATACTGTTGAATGAAAAAAGGATGCAGAACACAGTGTGATAAATTATTAAGTTGTTACAAATGTAGAAAAACTACAAAAGCAAACTGGAAGGATAGATACCAAATTAATCATAGTCGTTGCCTCTGGGAGGGAGAGAGAGGATTAAGTTTAGAAGGCAGTTCAGAATGGGACCTCAACTTTACACAACATTTTATTCCTTAAAAAATTAGATTTAAGGCAGATACTTTAAAGCGTTGGCATTTGTTCATTCTGAGTGGTGAAAGATGTTGTTCTCTATGGTTTTCTCTATTACAATTGTTTTCTCATTTAAAAAAATTAAAATGTGACAGAATTTCAATGGTGTTCTGAGTTAACAGCCAGGGGCTAGAGGACAAATGCAAAATGACTTTTTAAAATCCTCTTCCTCGAGTGTGGAGGACATTGTTAATTGCCTTCTACCAGCGTTAGCTGTTCCCTTCCTCCCTCCTAATAGCATCTCAATACTCGAATATCTTAGTCCATTTTCTGCTCAGAAATGCACACCCTCTCAGCCCGCTTGCTGGTTCCAGAGATGGGTCTCATTGGTCTAAAGGTAACCCCACCTCCTTTGCCGCAGTGATTGGTATAGCTGCCCAGTCCTGAGCTAACCAGCACACAAAGAATGGTTTTGGAGGGGCTTATGACTGTGTAGGGTGTGAGGGGCTGTTATCTGGGGGTTTTTGGAGAAGAAGTTCCCTTGCTCTCCAGTGAAGCCTGTTGGAAATCAGCTGGCTCCTTCCTCTACACATCGTAGTGGGGAGGTAGGAAGCCAAGACCTGATGTAGCCATTTTTGCC